CGATGGAAAACTCCACTGACGACTACAGGATCCAGTCATTTGACCTGGACACTCAGATGTTGCTGAAGACAGCCCTGAAAGGTCAGCATGCCACTGAGCTACTGTCTGCATCCGATGTGCGGAGACGAGGAACGTCCCGAACGATCCTTTTTGCTTTTGTTTCTGTCAGATCCGAGTGCAGTGAACCTGGAGAAAGTTTCCGACATCATCATGGACCAGTCTCTGAAGGACCAGGTGTTCAGTAGAGAGGCCGGACGCATCTGCTACACCATCGTGCAGGTCCATACCAACGACTCGATGAAGGCTTATTGTCCACATTAGGTGTTTTATGGCAGTGCACTGGCTAAGACACTTAGCACCATTGATGGTGAAGGATTTAAGAAACTAGAACAAGACTTAAAGATCTGATTGAGTCTCTTACCAAATTCTTAATCCTCTTACCTAATCAATGCCTCACGGGTAGTGTACACAAAGGCAACGGGAGGCTCCAAAGCCAGCTTACCTACATCACTGCGTTCCTTCCTTTTTGTCCATACTTCACCCTCTGTCATCTCTCTCTCTCTCTCTCTCTCTCTCATCCTCTATCACATCGCACAGGCGGAGGCCAAGCAAAACAACGGAAACGTGTTCAGGAGAAACTTGCTGAACCGACTCCAGCAGGAGTTCAAGGCCCGAGAGGAGACCAGGGGGCGCGCGTTGCAGGAGTGGGTGTGCTACGTCACGTTCATCTGTAACGTCTTCGATTACCTCAAAGTAAGAGCCTTGGCGGGCGACGCTGATTTCATCATGTGTCTTGTTGTGATGTCTTTGATTACATATTGTGTAGCTGACTTAATGTGGTTGTTGAGTGAGAGTTGTGCCCATTTTTAACATAATTCAGAGTCAGTTAAAAATGCTGTAAACACTCACTAAGTGTGTGTGTTGACATTTAGGTGAACAACATGCCGATGGTGGCCCTGGTCCATCCTGTGTATGACTGTCTGATGAGGCTTTCCCAACCTGACGCTCTAATGAATGAGGAAGAGGTGAAGAAGAGAACGTGCTTATTTCTCTTTTGTTATTTATAGTAAAAGACCAGGCATATATTCTGTTGTTACAGTTTAAAATGTTTTTTCTAATAAACCTTTGTCACATCATGGTAAAAGTCTAATTTCAACAAAGAGTACATTTAAAGAAAGAGCTAGTGTGTATCTGAGGTGTCTCCTCTCCCTCCCCCCTGCAGGTGGACTGCCTGGTGCTGCAGCTGCATCGCATTGGAGAACAGCTGGAGAAGGTGAACAGCCAGCGCATGGACGAGCTTTTCTTCCTGCTGCGGGACGGCTTCCTGCTCCAGGAGGGCCTCACCTCCATGACTCGTCTACTACTGCTGGAGATCCTGGAGTTCAGGGCCGGAGGGTGGTTGCTCAGCAGCACTGCCCACAAGTATTACTACAGTGAAATCGCAGACTAGGAATGTTTCAAGTTTGCGGGGTCGCCAAGCAGCTTTTTTGCAGCTGCGTTAGAAAACCTTCAGGCACCTTGGATACCTCCTTGTTCACCACAGAGCGCAAAACCAGCAATTTCATGACCAACGGCGACATCTTCCAAGTATCCAATGGAGGGCTTGTAGAGGTGGCGGCTCATTAAGTGTAAAAAGACTTTTTGCTGGATTGTTCCCTGCGTTTGATAATATTACTGAGACGTGCCGTGGATGTGGAACGTGCAATAGTTCAAAGGGAGCTGAAATTCAGTTAACGAGGTTAAGCCACATTCGGGTACACTTTGTTTGAAAGACATTTGTTTTAAAGTTTGAAGAATTTTTTTATATTGTTAATTTTATTTTTCTGGCATTCCTGTTTTGAGAAAACATTTCAACTTATTTTTTACCAAATTTGAAGAACATTCCAGTCAGTGACAAGCTGATATGGTGTTTGCTTTAAATTCTATTGTTGTGTGACCAATGTTTTAATCAGTGGAAAAGATGTATTTTAATTATTTAGTTAAATATTTTATAGTGCAGAGTTAAATTTGACAAGAGGGTTGATTTGCAGTTTAGTGGGAGTTTAGGTCAAACTTGTCCTGTAGGATTTCTGTTACAGTTTCTCTGCCACTCGGTGAAGTTCAGATGAAACGTGTCTTAATTCAGGGATTTTCTTTTCTTATTTTTCTTACAACTCAACTTATAAATAGGATAATGGTTCCATTTCATATTTAAAAACAGATTGAAAAAAAGTTTGACATTTAATTGACTTCTGGGTTCATAAGTTTGTTTTGTTTAACAAGTCGTGCCAATGCAACAAACACAATATCCGACATGGATCCGAAGCACTAAGTTTTTTAGTCACGGTGCTAGTGGAGTAGCTATTTTCCTCCCTTCATGTATACACAGGTATACAATATATTGCATTTGAATTCAGGTTCCACCAGCACTGATGACGCTACGTAGCTGAACTCCAGTTTTATGTTGGAGTCTGCTGTTACCTTGGTTTTTTGTTCTTAGTGACGGCGCCAATATCCTCAACCAAAGCTTTGCCTTGGAATCAGACAGACACAAGCATACGACTCATGTCACGTGGTTCAAATATTACACCAGTTATTTTTGAAAACCTGTCTGTGTAAAATTTAAGTACAAACAGCTTTACATAAAATTTACTTTGACAGTAGTCGGACAAATCAAACAAACTTGAATTCCCAGAAAGAATCCTCATTGTAAAAAAGAAAAGAAAATGAGTGAATCATTAACTTTAAGTCCAAGCATTGTCAGGATTTAGGAAGTTTTGTAGCATATCACCCAGAATCGTTTCTCTCTAGTAGAGTTTGATGATTTAGACATAAACTTTGGTATTTGTCACTATAATCAGGCCGAATGTCTCGAAAGACTTAATGAAATTAGAAAATGCCAAGTTGACATGCTGTAGACAATTAAAGTCCCTGACTGGCAGGGCACAGACCTGACTGCAATATACTGTATGTTTCTATATTTTATTACAGCGTTGCAGCATTTTTACATCACTTTATGGTTGAGTTGTACATTAAATGCAAAGTTATTTGTTCTAATAAATCTCTGTTAGTTTTTCCTCAATTCAGTTCCATGTTTTCACTTTCAATTTATAATGCAACTGAGAACACCCATTTATTAACATGATACAATTTCTCAATGCAGAATTGGACAGTTTTAGTCAGTTTGTGTATATTTCACTTCCTCAACAGCACTTTGTACAGAGTGGCCCTTCCACAAAAGGACTATCATGGTGGTTACTATTTACAGGGGCGCTTTGAGTGACACAATGTGTCTCCGAATATTCCGTGACCAGCACAACGTCTGCTCGGTCCCATTCCTCAGTCCGTAGAAATCTCTTTCTACCACCAGCGGTAGTGGGCGTATGCTCTGTTGGCTTCGGCCATTTTGTGCATCTCATGTTTCTTCTTGATGACGTTGCCCTCCTTGATGTAGGCTGCCATCAGTTCCTGGGAAAGTTTTTCATACATGTGCGTGCGCCGGTGTTTGTTGTCCCGACACTCAGTGATCATCCATTTCATAGCGAGGAAGCGTTGTCGGTTGTCGGTGAGAGGGACGGGCACCTGGGGAGGAGAAAACAGTCAGACTTCTTTATGGCCCTGTTCAGACCATATTAACATCCGTCCAGAGAAATCCAATCACAACACATTAAAATACGTCCTGAATGTGTCTCCAGTGACCACTTGTGATCGATCTGAATCTGAACAGGTTCTATGGTTTCTGTTGCCACAGGATCAAATCAAACCTCAGTGACCTAACACTGACCTGATAGTACTTTCCACCTTTCTGTACACTGGCCAGCCCAACCACAGGCTTACAGTTCTCCAGAGCCTGGTGAAAGATGGTGTAGGGGTTACACTCTATCTCCTCCTTCTTCCCCTCTGGAGCTTTGTGGTATTTCTCCACCTGTTTCCTCTTGATGCTCTCTAGAGTCTGAGAAAAGACAAATGACAGCATATTATTAGGCAAAAGCAAATCCTCAAGCTTTTAGAAATTGAAATTTGTTTCGAAAGTGTTTTATTACTTGTGACACGATGTCTCTGGCCAGAACCTTGTTTCCATGTTTCATCATCATGTTGATGAATTTACTGAAAAGTAAAAGACAAAAAAAACGATCAGCCTTGACTGAACTGGAGTCAGGAGTGTTGCCCTCCTGCAGTGACCTGAGGCGGTTTGGTTCTTTCACCTGATGACCGGGTCGTTGAACACAGAGCTGGTGATCCCGTTAGTCGCTGCCTTGATGGGTCTGATGGCTTTGAGCTGCCGCTGCTCCTTCTCCTCGGGGGTCAGCTCTGCCTCTGGTATGCTGTACACCTCCTTCCTGACCTCTGGCTCCAGGTAGTAAGGGTTGTACCTGCTCCATCTCACCAGGAACACTCTGCGGACAAGCAACACCACATGAACACATGGTTTCTTCTTCTTCCTCTTTGATCACTGCTTTCCATATGTATTATATATATATATATCTGTATACATAACATTTACATATAGTGTATATATTAAGATATATATATATACACACTATATGTAAATGTTATCTATACAGATGAATGTATTTGATTGTATTTATATACCGCAAACATTGTGATGTCCTAGCCAAACTTCCCACTAGGATAATATCTTCATTTTGTTTTAAACATGTTACTCATTTACCTCATCAACGAAATAAAAAATATGCTGCTCTGTTCTGTTGACGTGGAGGGAATATTTCATAATACAGTTAATTACTATTTAAAAAGATCGACTCTCGTGACATTATTGGATCAGTGCTGTAAATAATAATGATAAAACCTCATGAAACAACATTAACCTGAAAGGGAAGTAACAACTTCAGTAGTATAATAATTTTAAACCCACAGAATATGGATTGTTTGCTCTTTAAAGTAATATTTGCCAACCTTGGTATCCAGGGTTTTAACAGTCCTGACACGGAGGCAGCCATCTTTCCAATGTGAGTATCAGGTAGGACCCCTACTTAGTATGTCCTGCAGGGGGCCTGAAGGAAAAGTAATATAAAAATGAAATTGAAAAAAAGCACTGCCTCATTCGGCATTTAGTTTTACTTGAGTGGTATGTGTGTGTTGTATTTTAAACTGTATTATTATTCTGTTTATAATTCCGAGCATCAATTTGGGAGTCTGGCGCAAACGCCGGTGACATCACGCGGTGTTATGAAGTGCTATGGCGTACCAGGAAGAAGAGTCGCTTGAATCCTGGCTCAGTGAGTGATTCATTTCTTTTTATCAATTAAATAACGTGTGGAATTAACGGGAGGAGGTCGGTGCGGGTGTCAGAGCAGCGGGAGGGGGAGAGGAGGCGATGTCAGCGGGGATGGAGGCTTCGGGTCCCGGTGTTAGTCAGCGGCGACGAGCTGGAGGAGGATGGGTGGAGTGATTTAATACAACACACACAGAGAGAC